AGTTGTCTTTCAGCAGGACTCTTTAAAGGGTGGTAAATGGAGCACTGGAGCTGAGATGACGGAGGAAGAAGCATTAGCAGAGCAGCAAAGGATGTTTGCAGAGGCACGTGCTCGGATGAATGGTGGAGCCATTTCTTCGAAGCAGCCAGATGCTGACCAAAGTTTAGATAGCTAACTTTAGGATCTTTATTGAAGCATAGGCAAAGCATCCCTGACTCCTGTCTGTGCTTCTAATGAGCTCGATTGTGTACAAAATCCATTCACTAGTTTGCTGGCCCATGTGGATGTGCTCTCCATTTGTATTCTATCAATGAATCCATATTTGTAAGTCAATGTAATTAGTGAGAGATCATGAAAACCCTCCCTCATAGCATTACTTGTAATTATTTAATTTACTTTTTGTATCTTCTAATCCTAGCTTGATTCTGGCAGTAGCTAGTATATTACTAACAAAATATTAAATATGTAGAAGCAATTGTGTTCTCTTTATTTTCTACCTTGGTGAATATGAGATCTTAAAAGCTCGAAATGCTATCCTAAACTGAGGCATGTTAGTTTAACTTCGCTCAGTTGCTCTTATACAAGTGAACGATAATAACCAAGTTTGATAATGGTAGTCTCCATGACTTTTGAGGGGAAATTATTTCCTCAAATAATATATTTACACGGTAGGTTACTCCCTCATTCCCAATTCCCCATAAACAATAGCTCTAGCAACCTAAATCTAATTAATTAAACTCTGAAGATAATTTTCACAAGGAGTTAAACCTTAAATGTCATTTTTAAGACCTGCGTAGTAGGATTGAGGGCTTAGGGACTAACCTACAATAAGGTGTCAGTTAACAGATACGTGTAATGTAGTCTCTGTAGCCAACATGAGCCACGAGAATTCAGTAATTCTTAATCTGATGTCACCATGGTGCACCTTTGCGCTAGAAGACATGGATGCAGCAGAAGAGAGTGCTAAGTGCATGTCGAGTTTCAACAGTGATGGCTTTGTGTTTTATTTGTTCTTGCTTTAGGTTTTTTTAATCCTTTTTTACCGTTTTGGGCATCAAGTCAAAAGAGTTTAGTCAAGCACAATGGCACAAGGCTCTTCCTCTCTCTCTTTCTCTCTCTCACCCTGCCCCACAAGAAAGTGAAATAACAAACACATTGTCTCCTCAGATTCCTTTCTTTTCTATTTGAAGCGCACTCTATCCCAGTCTCTCTCTGATTTCCTATATCAGCTGGTGGGACTGCTTATGTTTCTTTTGTCAGGATTCTCTTGCACTCACTATATCAAAGGGTGCGAGATGGCTAGAATAACAAAGAAACAATAAAATAAACCTGAAAGCCCAACATATCTATCCCCAACAGTGAAAAGAAGAAACCAGATTCATACTCTCTCCCTCTCTCTGTCTCTGTCTCTCTCTTCACCACCCCACCAGCTTTTAAAGCCTGTTTTTCCTTTCCCTTATGAAGACACTAGTCATGGACACAACCCCAACCCCAACCCCAACCTCTCCTCCTCAAGACTCATCCTCCTCCAAGAGGCACTTCCACTGGACCAACAAGGTTGGAAATGAAGACAGCCAAGGCCAAGTCCCCACCCCAGAAACAATGTCCAAAATCGTAGAGGAAGAAGAAAATGACAAAGCTGTTCCACTTCCAGGCCCTGCAGCCACTTCTCAGGCAACAAGGAAGAAGCTTCAAGCAAGGCTTCGCTCTGTCCTCACTGTGTTCAGCAAGAACCGCTCCAACCTCCCCTTTGGCCTTGGTTCTCGAGTTGTTGGCACCCTCTTCGGCTACCGTCGTGGCCATGTTCATTTCGCCTTCCAGAAGGACCCCACTTCCCAACCAGCTTTCCTCATAGAGCTTGCAACCCCCATCAGTGGTTTGGTCCGAGAAATGGCTTCTGGCTTGGTTAGAATTGCGCTGGAATGTGACAAAGAGAAGGACTCAGAAAAAAAGACCACGAGGCTGCTTCAGGAGTCAGTGTGGAGGACATATTGCAACGGTAAAAAGTGTGGCTTTGCAACAAGAAGAGAATGTGGAGCAAAAGACTGGGACATACTAAAGGCTGTGGAGCCAATTTCAATGGGTGCAGGTGTTTTGCCTGTGAGTAATGGTGATGGGGCTGAAGCAGGGTCTGATGGTGAAGTGATGTACATGAGGGCTAGGTTTGAGAGAATTGTTGGATCTAGAGACTCTGAGGCTTTCTACATGATGAATCCTGACAGCAATGGAGCACCTGAGCTCAGTATTTATTTGCTTAGAGTCTAGTACCACTGATCTGTTTAGTTCTTTATACTTAAAGTTTGTTCTTTGAGAATGTTAAACACTAGGGTATTCCTATACTACTACTTGTTTAGCTCCTTAATCATGGAGACCTAGTTCTCTCAGCTTTTTCCTTTTTTCCCCCTCTTCTGTGGAAGAAGAAGTGGGGTTTCTGTTTTTTTTTTTGGGTAGGATAGGTGGGTAGGGTAAAGGCAGAAAGGGGGAAAATTGTGGGTAACCGATACTTTACAGGGTGATGGTGGGTGGGTCATGAAAGGTGTATATGTATAGTTTCCTTTCCAATCCTTTAATTAGTGATATGAGACGGAGGTTAATGCAAATCATCATTGTCTTCCTATTTTTATTTGGTTTATTAACTTTTGCAACTTCGTTGCGCCGTGTTGTTTTATTCGATTCCACTTGATGAGTTTGCCTTTTTTGTACTGTGCTACCTCACGCTTTCTTTTTTCATGTATTTTTTTTTGCTCATGTGCTTATTTGCTTGATGATTGAGTGCTGCTTGGACTTGTAAAACTAAAGAGTCCACGCCTATAGTTGGAGTTTGTATCGGTCTTTCTATCTCCCATAGAAGGTTGTTACTCTACGTTGTGTAACATTTTACCAGAAACTATTATTATCATGTTTGGATACACGTTATAATCCACATACTCACATTCTAATGCTTTGTTCAGTGAAAAGCAACAAATTGTAGCTTTCTAATGAAAGTGTTTTTAGGACCTCTCAAGCGAAAAACAAACAAGTCAAATGACAGTTCTATTCTTACAAATTCTGTAAGTGATACTTTGTTTGCTTTGAGGTAGAGGAGGATTGCAATAGCATACGATAATCTCATTACCTCTCCTTTTGTGTGTGTTGGATGATAACTTCATTATTATTTGGTTTGAGTGCTCTTTCATTTGTCTCCTTATGCTCTTCCTTCCCTGTTTAGTTAGGATCCTTTATCAGCATAATCTTATAATCCAACACAATTTCGGTATTGGGTCTAAAAGTTGAGATTGTTCCAATGATTGCTTTTTATGCACAATTTTGTTTGTGAAGTGATCCCGAGAGTTTTTTTTGTTAATGCCTAATCATAGAAGTCATCAAAAGCAACATGAGAAAAGAAAAAGAAAATTCATATTCAGATACTAACAATCTGACAACAGACCCCATCACTTCCTCACTTTACCTTTTGTTTATACACTCGATCATTTGCTTTTCCTCTTGTTGACTGCTTTTCTTTTTTGTTGGCCTAATTCAAATCTGAAATATACACTCACCTCACGAGTTTGAGAGTCATAGTAATTTGTGCAGGTTAAGTCGCAAACTGTATATAGACTATATAGCCCATTACTCTCAACATTTAAGACCACTACCCTTTTATGTTTTTTATTTTGGTCTTACATGTATCTTCTGAAAATATTGTTTGAGTTATGGTCCAATACTAATTGTAAACACAGTTTCTAAAGAAGATTTTAATCTTGGAGTTTGGTTAGATAAACTTCTTTAGAAACACTTCTAAGAGAAAAAATTAGAAAAAAAATTAAAATAAACTTCTTCATATAAGTTAAAACTAGTTTATATACAAATTAGAAATAAGATTTTGGAAAGAACTTCTATAAATTAACTTGTGCATAAACTAATTTTAATTTATAAAAAAAATTACTTTATTTTTTATTTTTATTTTTCTCTCTTAGAAATGTTTTAAAAGAAATTTATTTAAATAGACCCTTTGTCATATTGTGTGAGTTTAAACTCTTTTGCCATATCTAATTCTTGTTTGTACTACCTTTTTTATTTAAACCCCAAAAGAAAATCCTTTACCCGGATAATTTGATCATAATAGTGAACATTCCTTTTACCTTTCCCCTCCTAGTTTTCAAGCTTTCAAAAATTCCTACTATTTCCCTGCAACTTACAAGAGAAAAGGTTGAAGATGAGCAACATATGTGATTTACAGCTAGGACAATAGAATTCTTGAGATGTCTTTCACCGAAACCAAAGTTCTTTTGGTTTATTTTAATCATCTATTCATCATTCTTCTAAAGATATAAAAGCTAGTGGCTTCACATAAAGTTGAACCACTGATTTACATCATTATTGCTCTAATTAGTGCACCAAAACTTCCTCAACCCACCACTGAGAAGAGAAATAGTAGTACAAATCAGAAGAACACATTCAGGTTGTCTATGGTGCATGACCAAGGCCACTACAAAATCCAACTTGTTTCATCTTTTAACATATGTAATTGTAGGGTTATGCAGTCCTTACATGTCATCCAATTATGAGCTTAATGGGGTACTAATTTATTTGAATAAAATGAGACGAATGAAAGTATGTGTGATCCGTAATGGTGTACGAACGTGGGGCTGCATGTGAATTAGACTAATTAAAATTGAAGTCACTTAAGATTGATATGATGTGTATGTTTTCTTTTGATGAGGCAGGAGAGACTTTTCTACTACCAAGTTTGAACTTGAGTAACAAACAAAGAGTTCATAGGTGCCACTTGATGTAAATCAAGTGAGCAAAAGAATCACAGGTACCCTTTCATGGTACGTCACAAAACAACAACCCCAAATAATGGCACCAAGGTGGTACCATGTGTTTTCCTCCAGGTTAGAAGCTGTTTGGGGGTTCTACTTAAATAGTAGCATGTTTGTGTGGATAAGTATGTTTAGCATAACTAAATAAGCTCAAATCTTTGTGTTAAATATTTAGAAAGAGAATTTTGTCCTTCATAATAGTTTTATTTGGTATGAATAACATGATTGTTTTCAATAAAAGATATTCGTAATTTATATATAAAATAATTGATGGGTCCAGCCATAGAAAAAAAAAAAATTATTGTGGTAGGTGTGATAAGTGTGGT